CCAGGCCTCCTGACTTGTAAATACTTTACTTCCCATGTTGGTAGAGTCAGAAAATGTCATGATACCAAATTTAGCGTGACAAACTATTTATCTAGCTGCTTTTCTTAGATTAGAACATAAACTTGTCTTGGGTTTTGGCTGCTGCAGACATTTTGATTTCTCCCTGTTCAACAGTCCTTGGATCTCTTCCCCTAAATGATTGACAGTGACCTTTAGTCTAATTTATATGGTGTGGAGGACTTGGTCTTTGGCCCGAAAAAAGCTTACGGCTAGTACCATTGGTTTTTCCCCATTTTTTTCTTCCCCATTTTTTCCCTATTTTTTTTTTTCTGGAAAATTTAATGGTAACTTTTCAGTGAATGGTAACTCTATCCTGCTCTGTGAATTCCTCGACCTATAAAGCAACTTCACCTACCTACAGACTTGAAGATGATTCTGGGACCCATACTATTTAGCAGTCTAATCTTTGACCTACAGATGAAAAGCAAAGGCCCATCTTTTAAAATTGGAATTAGAAGATAGCATGATAAGCATTGCTGAAGAGTGGCTCTGACTCTCTGTGATTTATAAGATTCTCCTGACTCTCAGGCAGCAAGGGAAGAGCAAAGAAGGACTTGCCTTCTGTAGCCAGGTTGTCCTGTTTCAGCCCTGGCAGCACTGTAGTGAAGCCTTGTGTTTTGACTGAAGCTTTTCAGCCTTGGCATAGAAAAGCCAATGAAACCCTTTTCCCCTCCATCTAACCCCAACAGGGGAGGGGTGGGAATAAAAAGGAATGTTAAACAGGGACACAGTCTTTTCCATTGAGTCTCTAAGAATCTTGAGGGTTGAGAGACTCTTATCTTATTCACCCCTTTGATTTTCTTTTAGGAACCTAACAGAGTGCTAAACATAAGCATTTTGCTGTATGAAATTAGATATTTAGTGTTCTCTCTCTCTTTAGTTTTGAGAATTTTGAAAGTGTGTTTGTGCCAGTGTTTTGTCTTTTGTATCTTGTTTCCAAGCTTCTGTCTTTGGGTTTATCTCAAAATAATATTCTGATAGTGACTTGCTTCTAAATACAGTTTTACAATGTAATTTTGTCTCAAAGTATTCTGTTTTCAAAATTGAATTTCATATATAAAATTGCTTAAAATAACTGTTAACAGATTACCCTAAACATATTCATTTAGCTCCTGGCTGTCTTGCTACCTGTTCCGTGTATGACCTGAGGAAATTGCCACCTTTAAACAGAACTTTGAGTGGAGATTAATATAGGAATCTAAGGCATGGTGTTGTTGTGGGGATTAACTAAGGTCAGGTAGGCAAAGTGATAGCAGAGTGCATGGCATATATTGAGCATATACCCTAAAAATATTTATTGTTTTTATTATTGGTTGTTATTTTTGTACTTTCGACATTAACCAAGTAACAGCTGATACTGGCCTGATCTGTGAGGTTTGGGCAGAGTTATTTTAAACAGTTTACTTATTTTCCCTTCAGAAGTCCTAAGCTCCCCTGAGAATTTCTGCCCCCCTCCCATGGGGGCTTGCATTTTCATGGACACCTCTGTTGCATTCTTCCTAATTCAGACTGCAGATGGTTTCGCCATAGGTGGGTGCTATTCTGTGTTCCAAACACAGATAGCCAATGGAGCCTATCCCTCCCTTAAACACTCCCCTCTTGCTTCTTCCAGACCATCAAGGTTTTTTGTATATAACCCGCTGCCTGCATGGTCTGGGTGAAGGAACGATTGATCCTGCAGTAAAGCAAATGACCTAAAATAGATTAGATTAGGCTTGTCCTCTTCAGCACTTCACTACCTGATAGAAAATTCTTAAAATGAAGTATAGATATTTTCTAAAATGCACTGAAAAATAAACAATATTATGGAATCTTTAAACACTGACTGGTTTTAAAAGCTGAGATACTTTGTAGGCCTGGAGGAGATTTTAGCTTAAGCAGGATAAACAAGTCCCTACCCAGTGATCCTCAGCCCATTTTTCTAATTCTTTAAAATTTATGCCTCACAAATCCCTCTTAAAGGAATCACTTTATTTCCTGTCTATCATAAGTGCAGATGGCCTTGCTGGTGACATGAACGGATACTTTTCTTTCTCTGAAACGTCTCATCTGCCAGTGATTTCTGGAAAGCTCTCAGGCTGTTCTGGGCTTCTTCACTTTCTCAGCATCTGTGAATTTGAGCTTCAGGCTACTCGGTTAAGGCATCCAATCCGAGTGCTCCCAAGATTATACCTACTAAGACCACCAATGAATCCAGGGGGCAATTTATAGTTCTGGCCTTATTTAAACTCCCAGCAGCATTTGACATAAACACCTTCTTGCCATTATAGCAAGGGATATGGAAATTGGCTTTCTACATGGCCAGTTCTGTCCAGTGTGTTTTTCAAATTGAATTCCTCTTTTCCTTTTTTTTTTTTTTTGTAGTACTGAAGATTGAACCCAGGGCCTTTGAATTAGGCCATATCCTTGGCTTCAAATATCATTTATATGCCAAAACTAGTAGTTTACTGCATTTTGACAAATTTAAAACAACAGTGATAGAACCACTGAGGTTTTATGTACTACAAAGAAAAAAAGCATTGCCAATTAAAATGACAGTGATACCTTATCACATTAATCTCTTGAAGTATCTTTCAGAAATATCAGGATGTGAGAAATATGTAACCAAGAATGAATAATAGAGCATAATATCTCTTGCATTGATTAAATGCCACTTCCAAAACATGAGTACCTCATATATTTTAAGCATTATTCTCAGGAACATGCAAATGATTGCACTAATTGTCTTGACAAATGGGTCACTCGCTTAGTCTTATCTTTTCAGGCATAAAAGAGACCTTATTGCTGTGTAGCTTATTATAGGTATAGATGAGACAGAATTAAGTTAGCAGAATTATCGAACCGGTAGATCTTCAGGATAATGATAGAATTGTGAGATTTATTTCATTTTAAGTTTCTCTTGCTGTCTTACTGTACACCATGAGGTACACCTGATCAGTGCTTACTGTCCTCAGAATTTCTCAGGTAACTGAATTTAAAAATTGTTAGTACTCATTTGTTTTTACATGTTATGAGGAGATCATGCTGTTAGTTTTTCTTTCATTTTTAAAAATTTCTCTTTTACCCCCTGTAGCTTCAAAATTGGTTTTGACAGTTCTGCGTAGTGTAAGAACTATTACTGAATTTTGAAATTTAATTATCCTGCAGCAGTGTCTCAAGTTAACAAAAAGACATGGTCAGAGTCCATTAAGTGTTCTAACTATGAACATATACATAGCCTTATTCTATTCTACTGAGGTTTTCTAATAATAATTGAAGTGGTATAGCTTTTGTCCCTTGGGTGAAGAAAATAATCCATACTAAATATTTTTGCCTTAAAACATTGTCTGTGGTTTCATTCATTAGCCCTAAAAGCAGGAAAAATTATTCGGATCCCATTTCTAGATATTGTTAACTTAGGCATAATTTATTTAGCTAGGAATTCTAGCATGCAGATGAGTTTGCCCTCGAAGTGTTCTAAAAATGCAGTCCCTTATTTTTTTCTTCCACAGCACTCTTTCATAGTACTTTTCTCATAGTTCAAAATAGAATGTTTAGTAAGGAAATTTTAAGTAAAATAATCCATCCATATAGGGATTTTAAAATGTTTGTTTAAAACTCTTAGATTAAAGAAGAAATAAAAATGAGAATATAGACTTTTTACAAAGTATAAAAGAATGAGAATACTATAAACAAAACTCACAAGATTTTTACCAAAGATTTACTCAGAGGAAAATAATTGGATTTATAAACTTGTTATTAAACAAAAATGTCAATTAATGAGCTTACTCTTAAACCTGAGAGTTTAGAAACAAAAAATATGACATGAGAAATCATGTTCAGAGAAAAAATATAAAGCCCATAAATCCAAGACCTGTTGAAGAATAACTTTTATTTTAATCACAAAATGGCAAAAACATAATTTATAATATTAGGAATGAGAGAAGATACAAAGAGGGAGAGGTTTGCCTAAAGAGAAAGATTATAAAATGGTGAGAATTTGAAAATAATTTATGAAGAAAATAGATATCAAAATGAGATTTAGAAAAAAATGAAAATATTGAACAGGTAGATCTGTAGCCACCTAAGGAATTGGATGCATTATTAAAGAAATACTTCTGTAAGAGGATTATCTTTGTTTCAAATAATAAGTAATTTTTATTTTGAAAGCTTCCTAATTAGTACATGTAGTCACAACCCTGGTTAAATCAGTTACTGTGCAGTTAGTCACTATGTCTCAATCTTCTGTGCTTGTAGAGGTAGTCCGCATTTCACCTTGTGCTGACCCCAGCGCACATTTTGTCTGGATTGCTCTGGGTAAAACAGATGGATGCTTGATAAAAAGCTATCTCCAGGCATCTCTTCTAGCAGTTTGCATTTTAGCTCACTGGTGAGAATTGCATTCATTAGAAAGATTTTATCATAAATGAATGTAAGGATCTTAAGTTGCTAGGGTTTCTTTTTATACATTTCTCTGATACTTTTCCTTCCTTATGTGTATTTGTATTTCCTACTAGTTTCTATGAAAGCAAATAACCATAAGGCCATTGCTACAACTTTAGAAACATGTGGGAAAGCATACTGTTTTCTTTTACAGAGAATGTAACTCATACTTAGTCATTATGCAAATTCAGAGCTTTACTACATTTTCTGCCTTAAATTAGAAATTTTATATGATTACAACAAAATACAAACTTTGACCTATTTAAAACTCAAGGAAAGAGTAGGATCTGCATAGCCTTTGTGCTACATTTTAAATCATATTTTAGTAATTGGTTAAATTTTATCTTTTGATATACACTATCATATTCTGAGATCTAATTAATTTAAGGGGGTACATTTTGGTTTTATTATTGGGGGAATTTTCAAAGTTATATTTCAGAGTAAGTATGAACTGCTTTGTGAGTAGCTTTGTTGTTATCGCTTTACCAAAACTGTTTCCATCAAACTGATTTTTCTAGGTTGAAAATGTGTGCTTGGTGGACCGAGTGTCTTCCAAAAAAGCAGCCCTGGGTACTTTGTATTTGACAGCTACTCATGTCATATTCGTGGAAAATGCACCTGATACAAGAAAAGAAACATGGGTATGCTTTCCTTATTTCTGGCTTTACATATTTTATTTGAAGTAAAAAATTTGATCCTCCTTTCTTTTGTTTGTTCTCAGAGTGAGGCAAGTGGGTTGTTGGTGTGCGGGTGTTCAGGCAACTGTTTGTGGGGTGGTGCCTTGTGTTGCACAAAGTCATCTTGATGTGATCTACTGACTCATTTAAACACTTACTTGGGCATCATCAAAGATAAACCTAGAAATAGCCTTAAGATACATGTGCTTCATTACATATCTGTCAAGCAGAGATTCATTAGTGGTAGTATGCCAGATGCAGTATTTTCATACTTACTTGCTACACACATTATTTGCAAGATCCTGTAATGCAGCAATTCAGTTATTTTATTTTCTTGTCTCTACTCTTCTGATAATTTAAAAAAGAAAAGCTAGAGAAAAGTATCATCAACAGATATTTCTTCTAGTAGGTAATAAAACTACTAGATATTTCTAATTTTGTATAGTAACCTTGTCATAATGTTATGACCAGAACAGAATCCCTGAAATGTAGAGCTTTTCCTCTTCCCATATTCTGTGGACAGTGTTATGCTTTTAGCAGAAAGTGGTAGGCACTACTTAGTGGAAAGGAATTTGAAGAATGAAGTGCTGCCTTTGAGGGCTGAACACCTTCTGGAAATGCCAAAGAGATGGGTTTCCTCATGATTTCTTTTCAAATCTCTTCATTAGACAGGAGAACAATAGGATGAGTGGTTAAAGGGGAAATGGAATGAAAATGGGAGGGAATGAGTACCTGTTGATCTAGTAATACAAACCTATAGATAAACAGGAAAAGTAGACCTTGAGATCTATTGCATAGCAAGGTATTAAGCCAAAACAACAACTGTATATCTCAAAATAACTAAGAATAAATTTCAAATGTTTTACTGTAAGTAAATAAGGTGGTGTATATGTTAGATTGATGTAATCTTTTCACATTGTATACATACATCAGAACATCACACATTGTATAAATGTATACAGTGATGATTTGCCAATTGAAAATCATATTAGTAAATTAAAAAGAAAAAAAAAATTTTCTTCTGCAGTTGGTCTGACCACCATCATCTTAGAAAACAACAATCCCAAGTTACTATCAAATCTGAACGTGCATCCCATGTGGAATTAAAGAACATGGTGGCATCTCCCAGTGGAGCCATCTCTAACTTCAATAAATGCAAAATTTATTTTGCTAACTTCTCATGACCTTATTTAATTTTTGCTGTAATTGCATTCAACATTTGACTATGAAATATTCCCTTACCTGAAATCGTGCAAATTCTCATGCTGAATAGTTTGCTTCAAAATAATTATCCTGGATATCAAAGACTTTATATTGAAAAAATTATTAACTTAGTCACTTGTAATATCTCAGTCTTGTCATCTGATAGCAGGTGTTGAACTAGCCGAAAGTTATGAAGTGTTTCTTGTCTACCTGTGTAACTCAGAGACTTGTGGTAGTCCTTGTCATATTTGCTAGTTATTTGTGATTAGTGTTTCTTAATAAACTTTGGTTCTAGCTTCTCCACAGTCAGATTTCCACCATTGAAAAACAGGCAACAACTGCTACTGGCTGTCCTCTGCTTATTCGCTGTAAGAACTTTCAGATTATACAACTCATCATACCACAGGAAAGAGATTGCCATGATGTATACATCTCTCTGATACGTCTTGCAAAGCCAGGTAAGCAAGAGAACTTGGCATTTGATATGGATCACTCTTAGAAAGTGGCAGATCCTGTTCAAGAATTTGTGTAGTGCTTAGGAATAACAAATGTTTCAGAATTCTGTGTCATCTTTGTTCTCAGGTGAGGCCAGGAAGTTTGAATGATCACTGGATACATGAGTCCTTTTCTTCAGGGTGGGCTTCTTTCACTAATCCTGCTATTCACATTTTCTTGGTGGGGGTTGTAATGAGTTTTCCTTTTAGCATGTAATCACTTTAAAAGTAGCCCTTTCTGATACTGTGATAATTGAGCTACTTGTAATGAGACCATGATGGAACTGATGATTTTTTTTTTGGAGGCAGGGTCTCACTCTGTAGTTTAGGTTGAACTTGAATTCACTCTGTAGCCTAAGCTGGACTTGAACTCACAGTAACCTTCCTACCTCAGGCCTCCTGAGTGCTGGGATTACAAGTGTATGCCAACATGCCTGGCATAATTGATTAATTGTTTTGTGTGGAAAACATTGTTATTCAACACTTTTGGTACATTCTTCTGAGGACCTTTAAGGTTTGGTCTCCATTTGTTTTTTATAGTAGTGCATGTTTTCCAAAATAAATGCAACTAAAAATGGACTTTCATTAGCATCAGTGAATATTCAGGATAAAATATGTTAATTTTTAAACGAAACCTTTTTAAGTATGGTGGTAAGATGTTTTTTTTTGTTTGTTTGTTTGTTTTTGTTTGTTTTTTGGTACCGGGAATCAAACTCACGACCTTGCACTTGCCAGGCAGTGCTGTGCCACTGAGCTAAATCCCCAGCCCCAGTGGTAAGAATGTTTTGATTTGAAACAATATGTACTGTTACTATCTTGTTCTGGTATTGAAGTCTTCAGATTTATAGTTTACTTTTCACTTCTACAAAAGTATTCTTGTCTCTTTATGTAGCTTGTGTGAGCTGTAGTATTCTTTTGCTTAAAAGAAGCATCCTTCCAGGTTATTTAGGAGAATATAGTGAAAAGAGGTCATTTATGTAAAAGTTAACTGTTACACACTAGTCATCAGTAAGGTAGTAGGGTATGTGCTTGTAGTTATTTTGCCAAATGCGTTTTGATTAAGGACAAGAAAATTTGATTGTTAACTTCTCAAGGTATTTGGCTAGGTCTTAAATTTGTTATGATATAACTGTATCATTTGTAGGTAACTAAGAGCCAAAGTATTTATGAGAAGTCATGCCTGGGAGCTGTCAAAATCTGATAATTTTGAGTTTGTTCCCTTTAAAGGGAGTTGGTTGAGGCTTTTTTTCCCCTCTATGTTGAGAGGAACTGCAGAGTAAGCCAAAGAAGCAGCTGAACTTTTTGGAGGGTGCACTATAATTGGAACAGAAGTTCTGGGAAGATGTACATTAGGTTGCACGCAGCAGAGAATGTGAGAACTGTGTGCCAGTAATTTCTGTGTCACTGATTAACGGATGTACTGGGTAATAAATGTGCTATGACTGGATTAATGGGATTTAGGAATAGACCAGAGAACTGGGGAAGGACTGCGCAGCTAGAATGGATCACACAGTGGTGAGGGCTGTGGTTCAGAGATAGCAGGTGCCAAGACTCCCGGTCATGGTTCTCTGGGAGGAAGCCACTATGCCCCTCTCCTTTTAAAAGTGTGCACTTTTCTTAGAAGGCGACAGTTCAGGAGTTGGGCATTAGATGTACCCAGAAACAGGACTGGCTGTCTTTTCAGAAAAGGGAACCATAGTAACTAGTGGAATTACAGCTGGCACCTGAGAGAGTTTAAAGGGTCATCAGTGTTTTGAAATGTGAGTATTAGAAGTGCCAGTGTATGTAATAACACAATACTTTAAGAACTGTGGGAAGATGAAATAGGACATGGGCAGATCCACAGTTTGATGTTAAAGGCAGTGCTAAAGTTAGGAACTATTACCTACAGTTATTTTGGAAAGAGGTTTTGAATCTGGGAGGAGATGGGAAAAGGTGGAGGGGTCAGATTTGAAACAGTGTCTTTCAGCTAGAGTCAGGGAACATTTATTGGAACCATCCAAGGATAGCTGACAAAATATACCTTTACCTTTTAGGTATATCAAGTAAGGAATGTGCATGCATTTGTGCATGTGTGTGTGAAAGCGTGTGTGTGAAGGAATTGTGCTTTGAATTCTAGTATAGGTTAGTATAGTGTAGCCCTCTGTACTTATTCTGGTTAACCACCAACACAGATCATATATTTCAACCCCCTTCATAGACATAGCTAACTGCAAGGTCCTAACGAGGAACAACTTTTCTCCTTGCAAAAGAAGAAATGCCCATGAGTTCATTTAAGCCAAGGCCTATGAAGGAGATATTTTTGAAGTTCTCGGAGATTCTTAGGATTTTTAGGATGGAGTAAATCAAATCACTGAAAAATTAGGAGAGACTTTTTGGTTTGTTTTTTGTATAAATAAAGAGTGGTAAGCATATGTTATTGACTGTAAAAGATACCAGAACAAAATAATGTGGCTAAATTCAGCAAGCTCTTTAATTTTAATAAAAGAAATAGTTTAAGTTAAAATAAAGGTTGTGGCTCAAAGGAAAAAATGAGTTAATCATAGATCCAGTGTACTAATAAGGATATAGAATTTTCTGATTAAAAGACCTCGATTTCTCAGAGGGCTTCTACTTTTCCCATGTTCTCCGTTCTTCACTCTTCCCTCTAATTTCCTTCCTGCTGTTTATTTTTGTATTAATTATCTTTCTTTCTTTAGTGTTTGTGGGCTCTTCAACATTTAAATAATTTCTTCTATTTATTTTCCCATTTTTACTAAATTACAGATTTTTTTAAGTTTGTCTTGATTCCTAAGTTTTTTTTTTTTTTTTTTTTTT